CCCGCTGTTGTATGTTTTTTGTCCTTTTGCTAGGTATCTTGCTTGGTATTGCTTTGTGGTTACGATAGGCTTGGAAGAGTGTTGAATGGAAGGCAGGTGGGCAACAGGAGAATCATGCTCTAATGTTTAGTGCATTAGAATAAAGTAGCCTAAGTGTTGGTCTAGGCTACCATAAAGGAATAAGATCGTTTCTCATTTGAACAAACTCCTCGTATCAATGGCATATAAGCCACAATCCATAAACGACTCAACTTCAACCGCTGTCAAATCAAGGTCTATTCGCTGCGTAACTTCTACATGAACAACTTCAACCCCTTGCTCCTCGGCGTTGTAAGAAGTCCATTTCCTTCTTCTCCTTACCAGCAACCTTCTTCCTCTTCCTCTCAATCGCTCTATCAACCTGTCCCTTACTCATACCCTCGTACCTGTTCACGAGGAGTTGCTTCTTCTGCTCGCTCTTCTTCAGGTAGAAAGGCGTCTTGCCCTGCGCCACAAGCTCCTTCTCCTTCTGGCGGTGCTCCTTTAGCAGCTTCTCCTCCTCCTGTCTGCGCAGGTTGGCCTTCTTGCGGGATTCCATGGACTGTAGCTGACGCTTGAGGTTCTCCTTTTCGTTAAAGTTTTTGGTCTTCTTGATCTGTGCGCGCAGGTCGGCCATCTCCTTGTCGCGGTACTCGTCCAGGAAGGCGTAGGCTTTGCTGGCCTTTTCTTCGTTGACGCGGCCAACTAAAGGATCGAAGCGTGGGTCGCGGAATTGGCGCTTGTTTTCAGGGATGATCTCGCGACGACGAGATACAGGTTTCTTGGAGGTTTGTTCTTGGGGGGCGTGTTTGGATGAGCGCTTTGGTTTGGGGTCGTCTTTTGATCGTGTGGGCTTGCGAGGTGCTGGTGTTTCTGTCTTTGTAGTGTCTTCGCCTGCGGATTGCTTTGATTTTGATTTGCGTCCTGCAGAGGGCATTGATTCTTGTGCTTTTGCGAGGGCACCAAATGAGACGGATGAGAGGTCTATCTTTGGTGCATCTTCTTCGGGCTGTGTCTGGTCAGAACTGGCTGTCAAACAGAACGCGGCAGACTTACCTCAGACTCGTCTTCTGAGCCATCTTCTAATTCTTGGCCTTCAACGTCCTCCTCCTCTTCATCCTCAGAATATTCGCCTCGAATACCCTGTTCCTCAACCTCATCGTCCTCCTCCTCCTCCTCACTTGAGGAGTTCTGGCTCTCAGGCTCCTCCTCCCATTCGTCTTCCTTTCTCGGTCGCACTCTTCTTTCAAGTCCTAACGAGGACGACTGCTTTCGCTTCAAGGCCATATTGTGATGTTGCGCAAAACAACGTAAACTTTAATGAATTTTGTTATGCGACACTGTGATGCGACGGAACTTTTTTTTAACCCAGCTTCGATAAGCCCCACGATATGCTCTTATCTTAGAGCCCCGATAAGCGAATAACCTCAGTGATCTTCCCGCGATCGGAACATCAGAATGCGAAAGAGGCAAACGAATTGCATTGTTTAAGTCAAGGACGTATGTATAATTGGGTATCTAAGAAGCGAATCTTCTAACTCTAACTCCTGTATTTGCTGTAGAATCACGCTCAGCCCTTGGAGGCTGCGATTACACCCGCTGCAACACGTCTAGCCAGCCCTTGTGGCCCTGTATATTACAAAGTACAACATAAACTCTGTAGCGTTGACAACCGTTATAAGTTTGTCAACCTCATAACTCCTCCGGTCCATCCGACAGGACATATTCCGGATCTAGCTGAAAGGGTGTTCGTCGGACATAGCGACTGATGTCTGCTTGATATGATAGCTCATTGAGGTAGTCGTGTACCTGAGGCAAGACGTTCGGGATTTCTTGAGCCAATCCGCTGAACTCTGGAAGTGTGAGTATATTGAAAGGCTCACTGCGACCCTTCTCGAACGAGTCATCAACAAGAATTGTGTTGGTTTGATCCCATAAACCTCCCTTGGAGGCACGAGGGTGAGCCTCCATCACTCTTGGGTTGGTCCAGATCGTAGTAAGGCGTTTATACACTTGAACTTTGGTGTTGTAATCATCTGCCGATAGAGCAAAAGAGTCCCGTCCCCAAACAACAAGGCATTGCGCGCGCTGTTCGGGCGTAAGGAGCTTCTCCACCATCTTATCAACATTCTCGGGACGGGCTGAGGACCAGATAGCGACATGGAAAGTCTCGATACAGTATGTCAAGAAGGTTTTCGCATGGGGCCGTTCGACAAAGTTGAATGGACGCTTCTTGTTGGGGCGGTGGAGAAGTGTGCCGTTTAAATCGATAACGACAAGTATGCGGCGTGGTCGTGGCAGACGCTCTGGCGCAAGATCCGCTTGGGCGAGGTACTGGGGTGTAGGCTCCGGGACACCTCCAGAGGCTTTACTGGGAGTTTTCGGAGGGGATTGAGAGCGTGGCGCGCGAGCTGCTCCTGCTCGCACTTGATGAGGAGGCGGCTTCTTGATCTTCTTAGAACCCTTGTGTCCTCTTTACACAATTGTAAGTACAAATGAAGGAGATGGATATTTATTGCAGCACGTACTTTTGCGCCTCGGGAGCGGCTTTGCTCTTCTTTGGGCCCTTGGGTGCATTCTGCGGCGCGGCGCCTGGTTGCGCCAAAGTGAGGCCAGGTATATTCATCGCTTTGGGTGCCGTGGGCACGTTGGATCTAGATCCTGTCATTGCTTTGGGTGAATGAAGCAAAGGGGCATGTTGCGGAGAGGAAGGTGGCGTCGTTAATGTTGAGTCAGAAGTTTGCAAAGCTGTAGGTCTAAAACGAACGGAAGGAGTGAAGAAATCGATTTGTGCTTTCCCGGAAGAGAAAGATTTTGGCAAATATAGGAATCTGCGCAACATGAAGATAAAAGAGTGAAGACTAGGGGAAAAGTCAATGCGATCTGCGACGACCACCTAAAGGATGCGCACAGAGACCAGAATAATTCAGTCACCCTATCGAGGTTTTAAACAGGTTCTATTTCTGTCAGCTCAGTTCAGTTTCAAAGTTTCCTAGTCAACTTAATTCCAAAATTTAATCGATCTTCCTCACAAAACGCGGGGCAGATCGCTTAGTAGCATAACAATTCAGCTAATGGTGATATAATGTTCAAACAGCACATAATACGACGAACGAAAACAGTACAAGGACATTTCACATGCGATATCGTAAGGGTGTCAGAAGAATCGGCCGCCGAAAGCATAAGAGACGAAATGTTTAGGTCACCTTATGACGACTTAGGACGGGGTTTAGGCTACTTTATTTTTGTACCCTAAGCCTTAAAGGACAATTCTTCTGACACTCACGATACTAATAAACGTTGTTATACACAGAAACTGTATTTGCAAAAAAACGGACACCTTTTGTTCTCTTTTGGGACTACATAAGGATTCTGCCAGCCGGCAGGGCCTTCATGAGGCATAAAGATATCATAAACTCATTTACCCTCCCAACCATTTAACCGTAAAGCCATTATCATCATCGCTCTTAATTCTCTTTTCCTTTTTTATTTTGTTTTGTTTACTTGAAGACCTTACCGTCAGCAAGCTTGTACTCCTTGCCGTTGACGGTGATACCCTTCTCCCAACCCCAGGCATCCTCGACGAACTGTCGGTCCTCGGGCTTGGAGGGGTCGAGCTTGGTGAACTCGTAGCTCTCCCAGTCAGGGGCGACGTCGAAAGCGGGAACGTGCTCCTGACCTCGGATGACGAAAGCACCCTGGATAACGGAGTCGTTGTTCTCGCCGTAGACGGCAGCACATCCGAAGATGTACTTGCGGGAACCCTCAAGACGGTTGTTGAAGCCACCAATCAGGTTGTTGGACATGAAGGTGAGGGTAAGCTCCTCGTTGTACTTGTAGTCAACCTTCCAGATAGACCACTCCTCGAAGTTGAAGTTCTCCCAGAAGTACTTCATGGCCTCGTTGTGGTCCTTGATGTTGGAGTACTGGCGCTTCCACTCGTCAAGAGGGAAAGAGGGACGGCCGAGAGCCTCAAGAGGGTGCTTGGGCTTGGGGGCAGCGGGGGCCTCATCGGAAGCGGGAGCGGCAGCGGCAGCAGGGGCGGCAGCGGGGGCGGCCTCCTTCTTGGGCTGCTCGGGCTTCTTGGGGGGAGTGTTGGTCAGAGCAACGGTCTCAAGGAGCTCAACCTTCTCAGCGACATCAGAGAAGATGGGCTGGCTGCGGACAGTCTCGAACCATCGTGTGGTAGCGGGGTGCTCCTCGCGCCACTGCTTGTCAAAGAAGTACTGGAAGCCACGGGTGGCGATGCCAGCAGCGAAGAGATCGGCGAGGGTGATGCGCTCGCTGACGAGGAAGGTGTTGTGGAGGAGGTACTGCTCGACAACGGCGAAGTTCTTCTCGGTAGCCTTGATGGCATCGTCGACGTTCTTCTTGTTGTAGGGAGACTCACCCTTGAGGGGAGCGAACCAAGCAATGAGGGTGGGGAGGACCTCAGAGTTGAAGAAGGACATCCACTTCAGAATGGAAGCATAGTCCTGCTTGGTCTTGCCAAGAAGAGTGGTCTTCTCGTTCTGGGAGGTGACTGCAGCGGGTTAGCGAAGCTCCCGACAGAGTGGCAAGACAAAAATAATAAGATGAGTTGCAAGGTCAGAAGTTAGACGTTATCAACAAATTGTCTCTTAGAGACATTTCAGACAGGGATAACTGTATGAAAAAAAGCTAGATCATCATTCGCAAGGGAGGGGAAACAGGCAGGAAAAGTGGTGTGATCCGAGACATCACAGAGCTTCACTTACTGTAGATAGCAATGGCAATGCACTCAGAGAGAGCGAAGCCATCCTCACCAACGAAGGCGGGGATCTTGCCGAGACCGTTGGCCTTGAGGTGCTCAGCGGTAGCGTTGCCCTTCTCAGCCTCGACGATGTTGAGCTCGATGTCGTTTGCCTTGGCCACAGCCTTGATGGCAGTAGAGCGGCAGTTGTTCTGAAAGAACGGACCAGTCAGTAACGACGCTCATAAAGCTTCGCAAATGCAAATGCAAACGCAAATGCAGCAGATTCAGATTCAGGGCTCGAGAGTATGTACCTCGCGGGTGAAGAGAGTTCCGAAAGCCATCTTGAATGCTTTGCTAGGTTGACAGACAAAGAGTGAAGATGAGGAGAGAAAAAGAAGGAGGGGAAATTTTTTTTAAAGGTGAGATAATTGTGTCAAATTGCTGCCCCGCGCTAGTGGGGTCCTGCCTTACTGCCCGAGCAACGCGGACGGTGGGAGCGGTGGCTGGTTACAGCAGGACTTGCAGAGTAGCAGAGTGGCTGGTGAGATGAGATCTGTGCGCTGATGAGTCTAATCGGTCTTCTCACGTGACCCTCATTCAGAAGCTAGCCGATGATGGATCTCGAAATCCCGTGAAGTTTTTCTGGGTAGACAGTGAACCTCGTCCGATACGCGATACCGCCGGGGCTCTCCTCCGAATTGGCCATCATGTCGACATTTACACAAAGCCTACGGCAGCTGCGATGCCAAGGCAAGGCTTTCCGAGCACCATGGCCTCAGTCAGCCTGGCAACGTCCCTCTTTTCCCCTCGCCATCCGAAGCATCGCTACCGAGACATCAACGCCAATTGTTGAGCCTAAACCCGACGACTTCGCCGTAACGACAGACCCCAGCTCCAAATTCACGATACCGTTCCAGGGAGTTGAACATGCTCGTGCCGTTCCACTTTCGGCCTCGTACTTCTCACGAGAGCCTCAATTCAACGAGATGTATCTCCGTATCGCTCGCCTACTCACCAAATATCACACACTACCAACACTACCACCAAGTCATGCTCCTCCAACAGCTTGGGTTAAGCTCCAGGAAATGCGATCAAAGCTCGGTGAGCCGATCAAGGCTTCCCACTACGCCAAGGTAATCCGGGTCGCCAAGCGTCTGAACCAAATTGAGCCCTCGCTTTTCCCTGCGGAAGTTCGAGCTGCCCTCGAGGAGTTTAAGCGTGATATCAACCCATTCATGAACGTCCCCCACGAGATAACAATCGACAAGTATGGTCGAGCTGTTGGTGTTGGCAAGCGAAAGGAATCTACTGCTCGTGCTTGGGTTGTAGAGGGTACAGGAGAGGTCTTGATCAATGGCAAGACTTTAAGCCAGGCTTTTGGTCGTGTTCATGATCGTGAAAGCGCAGTTTGGGCTCTTCAAGCCACTGAGCGATTAGACAAGTATAACGTCTGGGCATTGGTGGAGGGCGGTGGAACAACCGGTCAGGCCGAAGCACTTACGTTGGCGGTTGCCAAAGCTCTGATCGTTCATGAGCCAGCACTCAAGACTGCTCTTCGAAAAGGTACGTGTTTCATTATAAGGATTAGGATTAACCCTTGAGCAATGACTAACCTCGTGTTCACAGCTGGCTGTATCACAAGAGACCCGAGGACTGTGGAGAGAAAGAAGCACGGCCATGTCAAGGCACGCAAGATGCCTGCCTGGGTCAAGCGATAAGCAATCTTTTCAGGAGACTGGTATCGCAAGGCTTTGGATTGGGTCTGCAATGGCGGATATGATGACGATGATGAGAAGGATGGCGAGTGCGACTCTGCTCGCATTCTTATCCGATATCCATGTATAAACAATACTTCTTGTAGTTTTAGAAATGCTTATGGCATTCCAAGACGGTGCCGGACGTCGTAACTTTGTGATCGTCCTGAAAGACGCTTTTGCAAATGTTAAAGCACAGCGATATTGACTGGCAACCCATCCGTAGTTGTTGGCTGATGAACCACCACAACTGACTAAGAGCCATCCATGATCAATCCATTGGATTCCATGTCCTTTCGGAGTCCGGAAAGCGGTTCCTGTTGGTAGCATGGGACCCTTGAGAAGGACATCAAACCTTTTCCGCTTTGTTCGCCTCGGTCAATGTGAGGAACTATAACGGCATACAATACCAGGAGTTCGTTAGTTTAGTCAGTCGTATCAAGTATCACCTTGGAAGCCAAGGGTACCTCCGCTTTTGGTCCGCCTCTCGCTTGTCATCTAAGACATCCTCCGACGTGCTAAAGAACCTAAACACCCAACGGCCGAACCGGATTGCAGTAATGCATTTGCAACAGGCCATCAAAACCCTGGCAGTTTTCCTTTGCGGTAATTAAAAAGTCGCTAACAAGTTGGTAGCTCCCGCCAACCGTTCATCCCATGATTTATTCTGCAATTGGTTATGGCGCCGTTCGGTGACGATGAAGCGAATCACTGCACCAATGCTGACAGGACGCGTCCTGGCTATCAACCCCAGACCTTGGCTGCCGCAGCATTCATCGACATCCGGCCGTGTCGGGAGAGGGTGGAACAGCTCTATGATCACTGAGCTCTGGCAAAGCAAGCGGTGAAGAGCTTCGTATCCAGTCGCAGATTGTAATTGCGGCTACATTCCCGCGCTCATGGTAGCAGCGTCGTTCGTGGAGACGAGCGACATACCCTCTGATGCGCAAGGTGTTGGGTTCGCGCGTTAAGCGATGACGAATTCACGGTCCAGTCGATCCCCTCATGGCCCAAAAAGATTCAGGTGAGCCTTTAGTCTTCGTGTAGCTCAACAGCATGAACAGACGGGAAGGCCGACGAAACTGACCATGACAGCATCTCGCGATGATGGCCACATGCTCTCATGAACGGTAGAGTGGATTCAGGTTGTTGTAGAATGAAGAAGGTTTCTAGAACAGTTTCAGTGGGGTGGCTTAAAGTGTTTCAGCCCAAGCATGCTCAGGAAAAGAAGCGGTTGGTCTAAAATTCGAGATTCAGCGGCACAACGGTGTGGCGTAATGGGGACTGTCCATGTCAAAAAAAAGGTACCTGCAGCACTTGAATACGATGATGGGAGAGGGAACCAACGTTGTCGTTCTGGTTGGTCATGATGTTAACTAACATCACCCGCTGAAGTACTTAGCTGTGTACCAAGGACTCAATATTGAGGCCGTCAGTGTCATTTTTAGGCCGTGCCAACGCGGGTCCAGCTAGAGTTAGGGTAGGTAGATTAGTAGGTACAGGTACAGAGAGTACTGTACTGCAGCTTTGGTAAAAGATATCCAATATCCATCACTTCCACGGTGGCTGAGGTGGAGCGTCAAGCATGGACAGACGGCGGTTTGAGGTCGGAAATTTTTAGGGCGGACGTAACCTTGAGTGGATAAAGATCCTTGCTAATAGCTAAGGACCGATGTTCGCGGCACCCGGTACTAGATACATGCGGTGCATCTTGCTTCAATCTTTCCATTCTTATCCAAAGCGAGGTAAGTGAGCCAGATAAACTACTGTAGAATTCAACGGCCAACGGTTTTTAGACGAGGCTTAGATCGTCTCGATCGTCATTCTTGGTGACTCGATCTAGTAATGAAGATGGGCCGGGATGGGGTGCATATGCGTGTTGATCAAGCATTACCGAATTGCACCAGCTCATGCACAACATTCATTAGAACGCTCCGCCTGAAGCTATTCTGTTGGATGCTATGCTATGCAAGGCGAGCAGGACCGCAATTCATGGCATAAGATTTCTCTTTGGCCAATGGGTCAACTGTGGGCAAATCCGTGATTGGGCATTGTTGTTTAGCACCTGGGCACCTCTCATCGGATATCACTATCGTCGCGCCCCAACCAGAAGCGTCTCGTCTCCTGCATAGCTGATGCGCGTTGCCTTTTACAGTGCTAGACGCGTGAAACATGATCCGATATGCGCGTCAGCTAGTGCGCTTCAGCAGTGACCCTTGTTATTCAGGTACCGGTACTTGCTGTGGGGACGGCCGGGTTGGATGGTGGGAGATCTTGCCGATAACCCTGTGACAGTTTAGCCAGAGCACCTGCAGCTGTTGAAGATGTTGATTCAGGGTAGCCAGTGATGTTTGTCTTGGATGGAGAGAGTGCAATTGTCAAGCACTGACCGGAGCTCATCCTAAGACTGTTTAGCGATGTAACGGTATTTTGTGTATACCACAGTTTCAGTATCGCAATTCTCAAGAAAGTTTGTACCCAGAAGCTCATGACGCGGTGTTGCTAAATATCAAGTTTTTGAATGTTGTTGTGAAGATTTAAATCCTGGAGATGACAAGTGTGGCGGTGAAAGTAACCCCAACTGGCATTTTAGTGGCGGCGGTGTACCACATGCTGGAATTAAGGGTCGTTACTGCCATCCATAGATCTGAGGCCAGCCCAATCTTGACCGGCATTAATGTGCTTGTATTACCTTCTGCGTTGAGATGCACTTTTTAATATCATGCATCTACTGATATCCCATCACATCGTCTAGAATCACTTGTGACTACAAGCCTCGCCCCAATATCGTTTGTGCCACGGACAATCAATTCACTCTGACTAGGAACTCAGCAATTAGCCAAGTCACTTATTATGGTACCGATTTTAATGCACCAGCACCAATCCATCTCAATGCTTTTGTCTCTTGACCGCTGTATCGAATTCGATGATTGTTGTCATGACTAGCACCTACCCTAGGGGTTCGGTAGCGCTCCTGCCTGGACCCAGAATTTCCGCTTAGGGTAGGTACCTCGTTAGGGAACAACCGCCTTGACCGATCGTTTGTCGCTGTCAACATCGTTGCTTCCTCTTCTTCCCTTCCTCTTAACGCACGTACAGAGAGATACGCAAGCAGGTCAGCCAGGATCAAGGCTCTCAGCACTCCTCGCTGACATGTGTCATCGAATATCCGGCCTAAGCCCGTCGTCCTGTCTTGTTCCCATCTTCCAAGCTGCGCTCGGCCACCGAGAGATTCCATCAACTGCCATTGGCTCCGTTGCGAGAATCAATCGAACTGACCGCCTGTCCCCAATAGCAATACGACCGTGAGGGTCCTGTACCTGCGCTGGCAGCTGAACAACCCGAATCATTGAGTGAAAAGAGCAAGCCAAGCTTCAGCATTGTTGCTGGCACGTCCCATACCAATATCGCGCTCTCCGGTTGACACGAGAGCCAATCTATGTACCCTTCAATCTAAGCACGAGCATCAAAACTTCAGCAAGGATGCTAGCTGCCATCGCCCTTTCCGCATCCATTGGCCAGCGATTATTTTCGGCTTGCTTATTCGGAACCACCTCCATATGTGGGTTGTGGACCAACACTATGCCTTAATGGTCCAATGTTGCTTTTCCTATTCTTTCTTTTCTCGCGACTTGGACCGTCTTGAAGCATTGCTTTTCTTGTCACCCTCGAAGCCCTCCCTGGCTCTCTGGCTTTAGCCCACGGTTGCTACTGAACGCAAAGACATCATTCACTAGCTTCTCTCGATCGGGAACCATAATGGCGGAAATTGAACAAAGTCCCATGACAGTTGATAATGGTCATATTATGACTTGCAATGGGCGTCTTTGCCTACGTCTGGTAATTGTTGCGGATCATTCCCTGCAGTACGATCATCTTCGGTGTCATTCAATACTACGATCGATACAGTACTGTAACTTGATTGACAGTGGCAGCTTTCCCCATATTGCACTGGGTAGTAGGGCTCGTTTTTGACAGGCGGGTTGGTCTAAAACAACTTGGCTATGTTTGACCATTGGTCATTTCTCACACGATCTCTGAAAGGTTATGGAATATTCTCCTGCTCCAGCTAACAGAACACAGTCTAGCCTCTGATCAGTCTGGTTATATTCTATACTATACAGGCACATATTTACACTCACAATTACCGCCTTCTACATCTCATGTTGTTTTCTGCCTCACAGCTGGCTTTACACCGAGCATGCTGCAGATTGAGAGAATAAATCTGAAGAACAAATGGATCCTACAGCCCATGAAGCTATGGATAAAACTGATGGATCATGGCGTGTGCTTTCTTAATAATGTACTAGCTACAGTCGAGCACGGCGGGTCTCTGGTTTTTTCCCTCTCGTCTTTTTGGCCGGCAGCCCACTTAACATTTTTCACCAAAACACGAACCGGAGGCATGTCTACACCCTGACCGCACCTTCATAATTCGCCATAAAAGAATTGTAGCAAAGGCTCATCACTCTTGTTGCTCAAATCATCCAGAGACTGAATACAAAGTGGCAATTGACGACATTCGTTAGGCTCATCCTAAGATAAACAACAACCACAACGAAAAACACAGAATGGCTTGGAAACAGGCGCATTTCTTATCTCATGCATTGATACCCAGCTATTAATGGAGAAAAGGAAAGAGCAGAGCACGATCCAAACGGCCGCCAATGGAGAAAGCCAGAAGACGCTGTTCAGCGCCCAGCACGAGCAATTGCTTCTGAAGTACAGAGAAGGATGTATACTACGTACACACCCCATAGATTCAATTGTGGCCCGGGACTTGCTCACTTACCCATGACGCCCCAGGTTCCGAGGCGCGCTCGCTCAACAGCTCTTAGCTCTACCCCCAGGCAAGCCACGTCGACGACTGCCATTCCCCTCTAATCTTCTGGCGCGCCTCTTACCAAGGTCCTGGGCCAGGGGTGTCTGTTACGTGGTGGATGGCGATGAACAACGCCGATCCT